TTTGTTTTTTAAGACACGGTTTCTCTATGTAGCTCTGGCTGTCCCGGAACTTGCCCTATATACCAGGGTGTTCTTGAACTCAGAAGTCTGCTTGACTCTGCCTCCTAAGTGCTGGGTTTAAAGACACATACCACCACTATTGCCCAGGTGCAGCAAGTGCCTTAACAGCATGCCGAGCCATCTAACTCCAGCTCTCTTTTCTCTTGGGACTACTGTCCAGTCCTCAGTCCCTACTGTTAAGAGTACTGTTGACAACTTTTGGCCTTCTCTGTGGTGTTTTGCAGTGGGACCTGCTACTGTTCTTACTCCGGGAGCTGGTAGAAAAGAATCTCATGGGACAGCTGGAGATAGAAGCCTGTTTGGGCAGCCTTAATGAGGCCCAGTGGCCAGGGGTAAGGAGTCTTAATCTCTTTGTCTTATATGAAGAGAGAAAATGTCTCATTTGTCCTAAAGATTGCCTCTGTAGCCCAGGCTAGCCACAAGCTTGCATTCCTTCTGCTTGCTGAGTGCTGGGATTTCAGTTGTGGGCCCATCATAGCTGGCAGCTACATGCCAAGTGTTTCCAGTGTTGGGTTTGATCTGTGTGGCTACTTTACGAGACTCAGAAGACCAGAGGAGAAGGACAATTGGAAAGCAGCACAGCACAGTGAATATTCAGGACTTGAAAGTCAGATTTCAGCTTATGTTTAAAATGTTGTTGTGATTGAGAGCAAAACAGTATCCATAAAATAAGATTAAGACTTTGTGCCTCAGTTTCCTGTCAGAGTCCACTTTCCCTTGTTAGAACTTAAGCCTTAGCTTGCTAGTCTGGACAGTTTCTATCAATTTTTTCATAGAAGGCATTGGGTGAAATACCTGGGTTGTCAATCTCTCTACTGTCTGTGAGAGCTTGTTTGGGACTTAACCTTTGTACTTGTTTCAGGACTTCTCAGAAGAATTATCAACACTATTTCGCTTGTTCTTAGCTGAGCCCCATCTGCTAGAACCCCAGCTAAGAGCTTGTGAACTTATGCAACCAAACCGTGGAACAGTGCTGGCCCAAAGCTAGGGCTGGGAAACAGCCCTCTTGGGCATGACTCCAGAACCTGCCTCCTGTGCCTCAGAAGGAGGCTCAAGAGCCCACTGCACGCCTTGCTGGGGCAAGAGTGGCCATACCTGTAATCAGGCTTACTGCTTCTAAGTGAAGGAAGTGTGTAGCTGCAGAGTATCCACAGACAAGGTCCTCAACACCTGAAGTCTAGAAGAAGGAGAATCGGATTCAGAGTCACAGTGGAAAAGCCTAGGCTCCAATCTTGGAGCAGAAGGAAGGCTGGCGTTTCTCGTTTGGATGCTAAATGAAATGCATGTGTGCTGGTCAGTGCATTTCAAGCCTCAAGTTGCTGCTATCCCAGCATTTCTTAAAACTTACTCTGAGAAATCTTGATAGGCAAAGGACTGCTTTACTTGAGAAAGTTAACAAAACATGGATTTGGAAGTCTACATTTTCTCACCTACAGAAGCTGGACTGTCACCCTACCCCCAAATATTGACAGCCTATTAATAAGGTAGGACACACCTATGTGAAACTTGGTCTTATGTGGACCTTCACCTCTTTGCAGGGACTTAGTCCTCAGACCAAGCATGGTATAGAAAACTAGGGGGTTTGGGTCTTTTATAAATAAAACTTTTAACAAGGTCTTGATGGCTATTTTCCCCTGCTTTTATCCCCTTTCTTAAAGCAGGCCTTGTGCATTGCAGTGAGTGAACTGCCTTGTCTCTTCATGATGCTTGCATTCTTTGATGCTGAGACCCAGTCTTAGAGATACAATCTGCTATGAACTATTGCCATCTACTATTGACATATTCCCTACTACCTGGCTGGCAGCTTTGGTGATATCTGTATTGTTGACTCTGGAATGTCTGATTTATCTCAGAACGTTTGACCAAAAGCAGTCTTCTGGGTTATAGTTGTCAAGACCTCGTTTCTACAAATGGGCAGGTGATTTTTAAGAAATTATTTTTATTGCACTTGGCATGTCTGCACATAGGCTATGGCACACTTCTAGAGGTCGGAGAACTTCTTGGAGTCAGTTCTTCGATCCCAGGGCTTAAAATTCAGGTCATCAGGCTTGGCACCAAGCCATTTTGATAGCCTCTGGAACCACTGATTTTAAGAAAGAAGACAGTATTTTGATAATGTGCTTTATCCCTAAAAAATAGTGGGCTTTTTGTTTTGGGGAGTAAGACTTGGGCTTTAATGGAAGTATCAGAAGGTTCTCAGTGATAAATAAATCTTGAAGCCACATGTAAAATATTTGTATGCAGCATATCTTAGTTTGCTGCTGTCAAAAAGGCTTCTGACCTAAGGAAAGTTAAGCTTCTCTAAACTTAAACTCACTTACCCATTGGTGTATCATCTCCTTCCCTTAACTCCTTTTTATTAAAAAAAAATATTTATTTAATGTACATTGGGGTTTTCCCTGCATGTATGTCTATGTGAAGGTATCTGATCCCCTAGAACTGGAGTTACAGATAGTTGTGAACTGCCATGTGGATGCTGGGAATTGAACCTGGGTCCTTTGGAAGAGCAGCAAATGCTTTCAACTGCCAAACAGCCCCCGCTTAACTCCATAAAATGCTTGAGCATCGAAGTGTTTTTCCAGGTCAGGATTTGGCCCAGGGGCCTTGCCTCACATATTAACCACAAACTTAGACTGCTCAGTTCTGTCAGTACTGGTATCAAGCCTAGGGAATTACTCTACCACTGAGCTTCAAGCCCAATAGACAGTCATAAATTTTTTTTTTCTCTTTCTGTTCTTAAAGGTCAGTATTAAAAGGGTATGGTTGAACCACAGCCCTGCCCCAGAAAGCTGCGAGCCCTGGTAAAGGTGAGCAGTAGGCTAAACAGCCAATTCTTATATTGTTTGGGAAAGCTTGCTGTTCAAATTGCAGGATTCAGCTATGAAGCAAGCCTTAAGGTGCACGCAGAGAAACTTGCTCAAACGACTGATGATAAAGACAGGCAGCTAATGAGCTAGACGGGGGACTGGTCATTCTCCTTTCTGTACATAAGTACTCTTTTTGGGGATGTCTGATTTATCTCAAAACTTCCTTCTAATCATAAGCAGTCTTCTGGGTTATAGTAGGTGATAATTGTATTGTGTGTTCTGTGGACCAGAACACCTGGGACTTTCTAGAGGTAAAAATACTCAGCTCCCAACCTGGGGTGATTCTCATGCTCTCCAAAACCTGACTTACCCTTTGTCTTTTGCAAAATAGGATCAGTGCAGGTCCACAAATATGGAAATACACTGTGGTCGACCATTGCTTAATATATAATGGCATAGTTTTACAACTACATCTATCTTCTTAAATAGATTCTTAGGGTTTTCCCCCCTCCTGTATCCTTTAAATTTAAGTTATCTAGAGATGATTTAACTATGTATAAATAATTACAAGAAATTTTTGCTTGAATATCTTTTGATCTATGGTTAAATGGATGGAAGTGGGACATGAAGTTTACAGAGAGTTGACTCTGACAGATGGCTTACCATCTTATGAATTCCTGAACTCATAGGAAATACCAGCACATACATGTAAGCAGAAAATCTCAACTCTAGATCATAACTAGATATGGCCATTATGATCCTCAAGGATCCCCCCCCCCCTTTTGGTTTTTCCAGATAAGAGTTTTTATGTGTAGCCCTGGCTTTCCTGGACCTCACTCTGTAGACCAGGCTGGCCTCAAACTCACAGGTCCACCTGCCTCATGAGTGCTGTGATTAAAGGTGTGACAGAAATAGATGAGTTTTGTTTGTTTTTTGAGACAGGGTTTGTTTGTATAGTTCTGGGTCTCCTGAACATAGCTCTGTAGACAGATAGACCTGCCTCTGCCTCTAGAATGCTGAGATTAGAGTGTACACCACCTTCCAGCACTAAAAGTTTTTTATCCCTATCATTTCCGGAAGAACCTGGAACATCTTCAGTGTTCAGCCAGGCCAAGAGTCAAGATACAAGAAAACAATCCTTTTTCCATCCTCTCCTATTAGAACAATTAAACTCAGTACTTAAAGAGATGATTCAATAGTTATTTTTTGTTGAGACAGGATCTCTTGTATCCCAGACTGGCACCTAAAGGTGATCTTGAACTTCTACCAGAGTGCTATAGGCATGTGCTACCACACCCTTACTCAGTCAGTAGATTTATATAAAAAGTTGTTTCCAGGTGTGGTGGCTCATAATCCCAGCATTTGGGAGATTGAGGCATCATGTTGGCACAGGGTCAAGGCCTACTAGAAATTAATCCTCTCCAAGACAGTCTGTTTGAAATCCCTCTTACCATGTCAGCAAGCAGCATGTAGCTCTTCCTACCTGTAACTGGTCTTCAGGCCCCACAGTTGCCTCCCATTGTACTGAGCTCAAGGTAGACTAACTGTACCAGTAACACAGAGTGGCCCAGTAGAAGTAGGGTGTGCGTGCATAGGTAAATACGAATAGTAAAGCATTTGTAAACACTCGGTGAGAAAAAAACAATTCTGAATCAGACTTTGGTTTGTGCAGTTGATTCTTTAAACTGGTTTGATCCTTTCTGTCACTCCATCACAAAATGGAGATGAATGTTGGAGGCAGATTCAGGGCACCCTTGGCTAGTGCTTGCCTACCAAGGAGGCACCTTGCCAAGGCACTGCAGTCCCCAGCTCTGCAGGCTATACCTTTTCCAGTCTTTGATTGGTGTGTTGTTAGAGTCCCAGAGGCAGGAAATAAAGGTGAGAAATCGAGTTTCATTGGACAGCCAGGGCCAGGAAATTCAGGTTGCTTACTCTTCAGAGGTAATCAAGTACTAAATACTGATTTTGCTGGCAATGCTGGGCTGATGCCATTTGTATAGTTGGCTACCACAGGCAGCCTGGGCTTCTCTTACCTCAGGGTATAGAAGCAGCTATGGAGTCTCAGGTGTTCTGGGCCTACATCTCAGCAGCTATCTCCACAGCCCAATACTAACTACCAAGGAAGGATGCCAGCTTGGCCACAACCAGCGGCTGCTGTTTGATAAAGGAGTTCAGAAGATGAGGAGGGAAGCCTGGTGCACCCAGCTCCACCTGGAAAGAGAAGGAAGAAGTGAAGGTGTACAGACAGACCTGGAACAGCCACTCTGGCAGTGGTGAGTGGAGATGCACATAGGCTCCTGAGTTTGGATCTAAGTACTGACCTTCCCCTCCCCAATGTTGAAGGTGGAGTTGACCTGAGAGTTGGAGAGCTCTACAAGATGGGGATTCTGCTCTGTTGCTGCCTTCAGCTCCAACAATCCATCTATTTCAAGGACACTATAGTCAGCCGTAATATTAAGTTAGTCCATCTCTGGTGCTGGGGCTTCACAAAGACTATAAACTTGCTCATTCCTCCTACTTTAATTCCCCTTGCTGTGAGCCTACTCTAGCCAAATGGCCTAGCAACCAGGGATTCTAGAAACATCCCAAGGTATTCCCTGAGATAAGATGCAGTGCTATGTCACCTGGGCAAGGAAGATGACTCTGGTTATTTCTTTCCCCTCCATGATAACAGGCTGCAGGACCCAGGCACTGGGCAGGATCTCTCCTCGGACCATTTTTCTGCTGGGTCTTGGCATAGATGTGTCGTACACAGACTGAGCTGCCATAATTGACAGGTGCCCCTAGGGACAGAGATACATGTGAGTTCTCTACCTGTGTAATAAAAAACAGGGACAGGTTTAAGTATATAGTCAGGATGATGACTTAAGCTACCTTACCCTAGCACCTGCTAATTGCACCTCAGCCCAAGTTCATCCCAAAACATTTTACCACCAGCAATATAGGCACCTCTTTCGCTTCCACGCAGACACAGCAGAAATCACGCAGCTGCTTCAGCGCACACAGTGTGGTGTCACACACCAAGTACACTAGAAGGACAGAAAGATTATTCCATGCTCAGAAGTCCCACTTTATTCCATTGCTAGATCTCTAGCACAATCTTTCTGAGCAGTCTGGAGCTCCCAACAGTGCTGCTCCAACCCTCTACCTCTGACCCCTGGCCAGGCTTTCGGAAGCCTTCAAGCTTGGACTCACCCAGACTGATACTGTTGGACACTCGCTGATGTAGCCTGGCTGTCTGGATGGGCTTGTGGTACAGAGGCCATAGAGTGGGATCACTCACAGCTGCCCACACATGAGAGAGTGGCTGTGACACCACACCTGCACCCAAGAAGCCGTGTCGAGTAGAAGAGAATTCCTTGTAGTAAAACTGCACCTCTTGTTCCTCACCCTGGTAACTGGAAAACACAGGAGGCAAAATAAAAAGGAGGCTATCAGCATGAGGTGTGCCAGGAAAGCCAGGGCAGAGAAAGAGAATCATAGAAGGACCAAAGCACTACAAAAGAACTTACTTCCAGCCAGCTGTTGCCTGACGGCTGAAGAGGTTGTGGAGATTATCTGAACAAGCAGCCATTACCTGGGGACAGAGGGTAGAAGCCAGGTCTCTAGGTTCAACAGTTCTGCTAACGTTTACTAAATGCCCATTTATCAAGACGAAGAGTTGTTGAAGCTCCCATGCCTTGGTGGCCCTAATCTGCCTGGCTTCTTTCCCTCCCCATCCAGCATAAGTCTGGCCATAGCAACAGGAGGGGGAAACAAGTAGGTGCAGAGACTCACATCAGCCATTGAGGTGTTGACAATATGTTTAGCCAAATCCTGGTAGGGAGAGGAGAAGCAGGTCCCTAAACTGGGTAGGCTGGAGGGAGAGCAGCAGCCACTGCCCAGGGAGGCTCTGCGACCTACAACAAAGAGATGAAGGCTCTGTAATGACCTGAACACCAGCATGGGGGGACAGGGGTATGGGACCAAGAGTCTTGGGCCAGTTAATCTCAACAGCTATCATTCCTGAAGCTTCCTACTCACTGTGGGCTAAGCTTTTCCAGGTAGATCCGGTCAGATACAGCTGACTGTTCCTCACTGTGGACCGACCCTGCCAACCACCTATCCAAGTGTCTCGGAAGTCTGGTACCCGAGAGTCCTCCTGCAGAATAGCAGATACTTAGAACAGGACATCCAGAAACATCTACTAGCAGTTGCAATGGGACTTCAGGAGGTTGGATGCTGAGGTGGTTTGAATAAGTATAGCCCCCAAAGGCTCATATTTGCTTTGGAATCCTTTAAGTTCTTGGCCTCAAAAAGGCTGACACTGTTGGTTACTAGAAAATGTCACTATTTGGAAGAATTAAGGAGGAAGTATGTCATTGGGGATGGATAGGTTTTGAGGTTTCAAAAGCCCATGCCAGGACCAGTGTCACTAATGAATCAGAATATAGTGTTCAGCTACTGCTCAGCACCATGCCTGCCTGCTGCCATGATGATAATGGGCTAAGCCCCGAAACTGTAAGCAAAAGTGAAATGCTTTGAGTTGCCTTAGTCATGGTGTCTCTTAACAGCAATAGATACCAACCAACAAGGCTTCATTATCCAGGCCACAGGCTTAAAGGGTTGCTTGCAGATCAGCTGCCATGGCAATCTGGATAACCAGTACATGGGCATGCAGCCCTCTGCCAAATGGCCACAACCCAGGGTCATAGAAGAAGCCACCTGTATCATGGTGGCAGCAGGAAATAGGCCATCATGGGGGGGGAGGGGGCTAGTGTAGGTAATAAAGTCAAAGTGAAGGGGAGATGAGGAAGCAGTGAGCTGTGGACAGCAGACCTTGGCCCTGACCAAGTGCAGCACTGAGCCAGAAGTCCTACTATAGGACCAGAGCCTCTAGATCTCTCCTGTCTTTAGTTAGTAAACTACCCCTAAGCCAGCTGTTCCTCAGTGGAACAAAAACATGGGCCACTAAAGAGGAAAAGGCACCTGCCACCAAGCCTGAGGATGAGAGTCTGTGGGAAAGAACTGATACTGAAAGCTGTCTTCTGACTTCTACATGTGTGATACGGTATGTGTATCATATGTACACACTAGATAAATGTAAAAAATTTTAAATGAGAAACAGTTCTACCCTCTTCCTTGCTCTCCTGCTGTAACAGTCTCAAGTCAGTTTTAGATCTGTAACTGTCAGGATCCATTTCACCTAATCACTGTCTTTCTCCACCTGCTTCCACCTCTCCCTTTTGACTAGATATGAGCATTTAAAACATACAGAGATGTCTTTCCCAGCATTGAGCTTCCTGAAGCCAATGTTCTGTCATCTCCTAACCCTCGCCTGTACAGCATCCGCCAGAACTAGAACCATTTGCACTCATGACTCCTCCAAAAAACCACCATAGGCCACAATCCTGTGGGACCACAAGATGCTTTCAGCCCCATCTTCCTGCATCTTTCAGCAGGCTGTCACATGCCCATCAAGATCTGTTCCTCTAGCACCAGGCTCTCTGCTCCCACCTGTGCTGTCTTAGGTTCTTACTGGCTGTCCTTAACCACAAACTGACATCTTGGAATTCTTTTGCACTTGGGCCAATGCCATAGGCGACCTCATCCGGTGACAATGCTAGACTGGTGATTTCTAGCTATAATCATGAATTAATATTGCTAGGACAACTGGACTGGCACTGGGGGCAGGGATTACATCAGAGACCCATTTTATAGAGGAGGTCAAAATTCTTTATGCTTTGTGGGTCAAATGTCAGATTAAGAGAAATGTAGCATTATTAAGAAAAAATTTTAAAGGCCAAAAAGCAGGAAAAGACTAGTTAGTGTGTAAGGTAAATAACACCAAAAATCAAAATATAAAAACTATAGAAAAAAAGACACAAAAACCCACAAAAAAACTAAACTATAACAACACATTAAAAGAATATTCCTGGTATATAAAATGAGTTCCAGGATATCCAGAGTTACACAAAGAAATCTTTGTCTTGAAAAAACACAAATTTTAAAAAAGGACTAGGAAGATGGCTCTGTGCTTAAAGAGCACTGGCTGCTTTTCCAGAGGACCTGGGTTCAATTCTCAGCACCTACATGGCAATTTTCAACTGTCTGCATTCCAGTTCCAGGGTATCTGACACCTTCACTCAGACATAAATATAGGCAAAATACCAATGAACATAAACTATAAAAAGAATAATACATCATGCATGCAAGTATATGGTGTGTATTTAGAAAATTCAAGAAAGCAAGGATAGCTTCATTCAGCCAATATGAACAAATACACAAGATAGCAATGTCCAAAAACTGAAAAGTAATGCCCTGGAAAAATCTTACATGCTCCCTTACAGTAAAAAATATATCTCAGTTTAAACTGATATGAAATAATAGAAGCATCCCGCTAATGTCTGGAAAAAGATGAGGACACTGGTTCTCACCTATTCAGGATCTAGCTAATGCAGCTACAGGGCAGAAGCACAAAGTAACACAGTAAGGACATGGTGAGAGGTCTAGGATTTGACATGACATGCCTTACAGTCCTAAAGAGATGTAGAGAAGAGGAGCTATCCAATATGATAGCCTGTTTGCTGAGTGTGCCCAATGTGGCACATGTGACCTTAGAACATTTTGGATGTGGTGTCAAGTCACCTATTCCTCCACAAATACAAAGCAGATTATAACCTAACATTTCCAAAAGCAGCTACCAAAAAGCACTGGGATTCCACAGAATGGCGAATGGAAACCTGTATCTTCCAATGAACTGAGAAAGGAGCATAGCAGAAGAAACAAAATATCCCAGGACTTGCCCTAGGTCCACTGCCCAGAAAGATGGCTCCCTTCTGCAGGGGTGAAGGGAAACAGAGTCCAGTATAACTCATCAGTGCAAATGGGACAGGCCTGGCTACTGGGAAGACCCAGACCCCTAACAGGTTTACAGCCTAGCTAAATAAAGAACTTGGAATCTCCCTCACCTGGCTTTAGAAAAAGGATTCACTTTTAACTAACAGTACAGTGCCCTGTCCCCTTCCCCGCCACCTGCTGGGGTGCTGTAGGCAGAAGACATTTTGATAATAGACTGTTTGAATTTGTACTGCTCTGGGCATCCAAAATCCCTGTCCCCCATCTCTGGAGTCCCATAGAAATTTCACTCTACCAGCAGCAAGGGGAGCCACCTCACGAGCGAGACCTGGCTTAGTAGTAGTGACTGACTCAAACCTGATGAAAGCATGTGGGGAACAACATTGACACAGAAGGGAAAGAGGATAGAAGCTGAGAGGATTGTCCCAAATTACTAAAATGACAGGTACCAGTGAAACCTAGATTCCTAAAAGCTGGGAAATCTAATCTAATCTTGGTAAATACTGATGGCCAACTTAAAAATCAAGTGGACATAAAAAAAAAATCTATCACAAGCAACAATACTGAAACCGCAATAATCTCCCAACAAAGAAAAGTCCAACGCTGGGTGACTGCATTACCAAATTCTACCAAACCTTAGAAGTTAATGTCAGCTGGGCAGTGGTGGTACAAACCTTTAATCCCAGTTCTTGGGAGGCAGAGGCAGGCGGATCTCTGTGAATTCGAGGCCAGCCTGGTGTATAAGAGCTAGTTCCAGGACAGGCCCCAAAGCTACAGAGAAATCCTGTCTCAACCCCAAAAAAAAAAGTTAATATCCATAAAACAGAAAGGAAAGGAACACAACCAAACACATGCTAGGAAGCCAGGACTATCCTGTTACCAAAGCCAGATAAACACACAACAGCAACAAAACTAGAGGCTAAATTCTCTCATGTATTAAGATGGAAAAATTCTCAACAAAATATTTGGAAACAGAATTCAAGAATACACTGAGGAGCTGGAAAGATGGTGCAGTGGTTAAGAGCACATGCTGCAGCCAGATATAGTGGCACAGCCCTTAATGCTAGCGCTCAGGAGGCAGAGGCACGCAGATCTCCGGGCTTGAGGTCAGCCTGGTCTACACAGCCAGAGCTACATAATTGAGACCCTGTCTCAAGAAAACAAACAAGAGCATGTGCTGCTTTTCCATAGGACCCCAGTTCAGTTCTTAGTGACCACGTGACAGTTCATAGCTCTAACTCCATTTCCAGCAGCTGATGCCCTCTTGTAGCATCTATGAACACTAGGCACACACGTTACACATATAAAAATTCAAGCACACATGCATGCACATAAAATTAAATTTTTAAGAAATTCAACATACCATTAAAAAACAAATCATAAAAGCAATCCCACCCATAATAAGTGTTTCATTTAGTTATTTTGTGGCTAAGAATAAACTAAGAAAGTCAAAGACTTACACAATGAAAATTGCAAAACACTGAAGAAATTGAAGACAGACACTAAGAGGCTCAGAGGTTAAGAGCACTTCCTGATCTTCCAAAGTACCCCACTTCAGTTTCCAGCACCCACATCTGCTTGTAACTCTACTCCAGGTGATCTGGTGTACACAATTACATAAACACACATACAAATGTAAGTAAAAAATGTTTTAAAATCTTTAAATTCAAATATGGAAATAACTCCCTGAAGTTGATTATTTGGAAGAATTATACAATTACATCCCCATAATACTCAAAACAATTGACAGATTCAGCATAATCCTAATCAAAATGTCAATGCTATTCTTCAAGGAAACAGAAAAAAAAACTAATCCCTAATTCATATGGGAATGTACTCCCAAACAGAAATCCTAAGTGAAAAGAGCAAAGCTGGAAGGTTTACAATACTTGATTTCGAGGAATGCTAAAGAACCATGGTAACAAAGCCAATGTGGTATTGGCATAAACAGATCATAGAAAATCTAGAAATAAATCTTGCATGCACAGCCAACTGATCTTTCCTTCACAAAGATCCCCAAACAAACACTGGAGAATGGACAGACCACTGGAATGAGTGGAAACATACATCCAGAAGACTGGATCTGGACCCTCATCTCTCACCACCACAAAATTAACTCAGAATGGATAGAAAGATGTTGTTTCCTGAGTGTCTTGCTACACACCACAAGTGACCCTGAACTCATGGTCCTTCTTCCTCAACATACCAACCGCTGGGATAACAGGTGCGTATCACCATGCCAGGCCTTAGTGTAAAACATAAAACTTAGGAATTACTACAGGAAGACAGAGAAAATAATTCAAAGGTGCACAATCAATGATTTTCTGAACATGGCTACAGAACTTTTAAGTTGACAGTTGAACTGGGCAGTGGTGGTACACACCTTTAATCCCAGCTCTTAGGAGGCCTCAGAGTCAGGCAGATCTCTGAGGTCTAGGCCAGACTGATCTACAGAATGAGTTCCCGTACAGCCAGGACTTAAAGATAGATAGATAGATAGATAGATAGATAGATAGATAGATTAGATAGATAGATAGATAGATAGATAGATAGATAGATAGATAGATAGGTAAAATTGACAGTTGAGATTATATCACATGTAAAAGTTTCTGTACAGCAAAGAAAATGGCCAGCAAAGAGACAGCTAAAGAATTAAGAATGAATTGGTGGTGGTAGCACACACCTTTAATCCAAGCGCTGGGGAGGCAGAGGCAGGCAGAACTCTGTGAGTTCGAGGCCAGCCTGGTCTACAAGAGCTAGTTCCAGGACAGGCACCAAAGCTACAGAGAAACCCTGTCTCGAAAAACAAAAATAAAAAAGTAGTGCATCTATGCATCTGCTGTGGGCGGTGGTGGCACATGCCTCTGAGTTCCAGGACAGCCATACATACTACACAGAGAAATCCTGTCTGGTTTGGACATGGTGGGGAATGAGGGAGTCAGGCAAAGATCATGAACCCTAATAGCTCCACTAAGAACTAGACTTCAGTTCACAAACAAAGGGCAAAAACCAATGGCCCTGACCCTGAATGAGGTGAGGCACATATGCTGGGCCAACACCCCTTTACCCTCCTTGAGTGATGACCAAATAAGGACAAAGCTGGGACTTGTTCAGACTTGCCCAAGAATGGAGAAGCTATAGCCTTGGCCTACCCTCACTAGCCCAAACCAATTAGAAATGTACTAATATGATTGCCATTTACATAAGCCAATCCTAAATAGAATGGCCACAGTGCTTTTCACATTCCTGTTGCTGTCCTTAAAAAGAGCTTACAAGTCCCTCTCAGGTGTGTGCGACCCCATATACATGTGGTATAAAAAACATTCTTGCTGATTGCATCATGACTAGTGGTTTTTTGGGGGACCTCTCATGGGAGAGTTGTACACACTATCCATGTGCATATTCATATGGGTGTACACACGATCCACTGCTGTGGGAAAAATCCTTCTGTATGCCGTGAATATGTTTTACTCCCATTGGCTAATTATAAAGCTGTTTGGCCTATAGCAAGCCAGGATTAAGTCAGGCAGGAAAGCCAAACTGAGGACTGGAATGAAGAAGGGTAGAGTCAGGGGAGACACCAGTGAGCTGCCCAAGAAGCAAGATGCTAGAGGACAGGTAAAGCTGTGAGCCATGTGGTAATACAAAGATTAATAGAAATTGGTTAATTTAAAAGTAAGAGCTTAAAAGTTAGTAATAAGCCTGAGCTACTTGCTGAGCATTTTATAATTAATATAAGCTTCTGTGTGTTTACTTGGGACTGGGATGTCAGGACAGAAAAGCTATGCCTCTGTTAACAATCCATGTGCATATTCATATGGATATACACACTATCCATGTGACTAAGATGAATACTTTTGGGTAGGGAAAATGTACCTTCATGTCACATGGCATATGCCACTGTTTAGATGTTATTTTTTACTATGTGCATTTTAATTTATAATGCGAACTTTAAATATTTATCTCCAGCCAGACCTTATTTGGAGCACTTCATGTTTCCAGCTGCTTTCTTGGTTGTAACTAGCTTCTTCTTCATTCTAAGCTGAATTCTTCAGAAGCGCCTTTAACCCAGTAAGTAAATATCAAACGTGCAACCTTCCCCACAAAACCTGGTCCTTCTCTAGCATCCTTCATTGTTGTTATGGCCACCACCTCAGGTCAAACATGAGTTCAGAGCTGAGCAGGTAAAGGCACTTGCCATATAAGCCTGGCAACTTGAGTTCAATCCCCAAGATCTACATAAAGATGGAAGGAGAAGGTAGGCCTTTAATCCCAGCACTCGGGAGGCAGAGGCAGGCGGATCTCTGTGAGTTCAAGGCCAGCCTGGTCTACAGAGCAAGTGCCAGGACAGGTTCCAAAGCTACAGAGAAACCCTATCTTGGAAAAAAAAAAAAAAAAAAAAACAAAGATGGAAGGAGAGAACCAACTCCATAAAGCTATTCTTTACTGACACACACACACTGTGGCATCTGTCCCCAAACACATATAGCACTCACAACAGCAATAAATAAATGAATGCATGGTGTTTTCAACTCTGTCTCTTTCTCCTACATCCTACCAGTCACCAAGCAACTGCTCTTCTTGCACCCTTATCTGTGATCTTCACTGGAAATGCTAAATCCAAGCACTCGCCATCTTTCTCAATTCTGCCATGGTCACCAGCAGGTCTTCCCTGGGCTGCTCGTCTCTCTCTTGCAATCCAATGGTCTATTACATATATACACATGTGTGGTGTGTGGTGTGTGCGTGCATTCAGGCAGGTGTTTGAATGTGTGTGTGTTTTCTGTCACTGCAGCAGCTTTAAAAAAATCTTTTCTGTGGAGTATCATCATCAGACTAGAAAGGGGACAGAATTCTCAGTACACTTGTTTGCCATTCAGCCATCTTACTCTATATTCCATCCACAAGGGCCCTGCTTAGCTCTTCACACTCTGAGGCCTCTCTTCCGAGGGTACCCCTCTCCCAACAACAGCGCCACTCAGCTCTTCCTAATCTCATTACCACTCTAGTCTCAGTGCAAACAGTCTCTTCAGGATGTCTTCACTGACTCCATAAATCTAGACAAACCACCTGTTATGCTGGCTTGGCATTCCTTCAGTTAGCTCAGTGTAATAACAATGAACATAAAACAAGCAGCTTAACATATCTATCTCTGAGCTGGAGAGATGGCTCAGAGGTTAAGAGCTATTGCCTGCTCTTCCAAAGGTCCTGAGTTCAATTCCCCGCAAACACATAGTGGCTCACAACCATCTGTAATGGGGTCTGGTGCCTTCTTCTGGCCTGCAAGCATACACACAGAGTATTGTATACATAATAAATAAATAAATATTTTTTCAAAAAATAGAGAAAACATATCTATCTCTAACAGTGTAAAGACAATGCCATTTTACTTACTACCTTATCCTAAAATAGTGTCTACTATTTAGGATAAAATAAAAGCTTAAGTTGGGGCTGGAGAGATGGCTGTTCTTCCAGAGACCTAGGTTTGGTTCCCAGTATCTACACAGTGGCTCACAACTGTCTGTAATTCTAGTCCCGGGGGATCTGATGCCCTCCTCTGATCTCCATGGGCATCGTGCCCTCACATGGTACACAGGCATACCTGCAGGCAAAACCCACACACAAAATAAAAATAAATCTTGCTGGGCATCATGGTAGATGCCTTTAATCCCAGCACTTAGGAGGCAAAAGTAGAGACAGGTGGATCTCTGTGAATTCAAAGCCAACCCAGTCTACACAGTAAGTTCCAGGCCGGCTACTGCTTCATAGTGAGCCCCTGTCTCAAAATAAATAAATATATTTTTAAAGATTTATTTATTTATCATGTATACAGTGTTCTGCCTACATGTCAGAAGAGGGCACCAGATCTCTTTACAGATGGTTGTGAGCCACCATGTGGTTGATGGGAATTGAACTCAGGACTTCTGAAAGAGCAGCCAGAGCTCTTAACCACTGAGCCATTTCTCCATCCCATTTAAAAATCTTTTTAAAAAGAAAGAACAACAACAAAAGTAAATAAAACTGAACATGTACTGTTTTGTTTGCTGACTTTTTGGTTTTTGTTCTTGTTTTGAGACAGGGTCTCAGTATATAGTTCTGTCTGTCCTGGATCTTACAATGTAGATCCATTTGGCCTTAAACTTGTAGAGATCCACCTGCCTCTACCTCCTGAGTGCTAAGATCAAAAGCCTACACCATCATACCTAGCTGTATACTACCTAGGTTCTATTTCCAGCACCCACATTACAGCTCACAACTACCTGTAGCTCCAGCTCCAGGGTGATCTGATGCCTTTGGCTGCTGTGAGCACCAGTACTCACATGCATACACAGAAACAAATACATACGCATAACTATAAATAAAGCAAACACACAGAAATGCAAGATTAAAGGAGAGGAAGGCATATGGGAAGGGCTCAGTGGAGACCTGCAGAAGACACAGGTCCTACACATACTTACATCTCAGAAACTTCCTAATGTCTGTCCACTCACCTTGACCTCTAGGGACTGGGGGTGGCCCGAGAAGGCTGGGCTGCTGTTGTAACCAGATGTGATGCCAGAAGACAGGCTTCCACTGGAGCTGGTGCACAGGGAGCTAGAGTTGGCTAGAGTTTGTAGTTTTTCCTCTTCCTGGGAAGAAGACAGATAAAACTAGCTTCTGATGATACACCCTCGCTACCATACTTTCTCCTCTGACCATCCTTCTCACCTCCACAGCTAACCACCACTCTTCCCAGAACTTCCTGCCTACTTCCCAGAAGCCACCAATCTCCTGCTTCCCCACATCCCTGACTCCACACGGAAGCCTCTTCCTCCCACATTCTGGCCTGTGACAAATGTGGTCTGATGAGCGTGTAAAGGGAATAGGAGCCCAGCTTTGGGCTGGAAGCCCACCCTCCAAGTGGATCTCCATCAGAGCTGCCAGAGTCTAAGATCTGGCCCAGGTTTCAGGCCTCTCTTAAGGCAGAAGATCACTTCATTCCTCACCTTCAACAGCTGGGAGACGATCTGCTGGCGGATTCTCTGCTTTTCTTGTTCAGTCCGCTCCCTGAGCCGATCTCGAGCCTGGGCAATCTCCACCTTGGCCTCCTCACGGGCTTGATGATAGTCTCGAAGCATCAGCTCAATGTCAGAGGGTAGGTTGGCTGATCTTGACGCTGGTTCTGGGATCCTGGGGAAGTATACAGAGGGGGAAAGTCATCTTCTAACATGATGGGTGCATAAAGTATGGTCCTGCCCACCCTAGCAGGCTCAGCAAACCTCCTGCTGTTTACGTTCTCAGGGAGGTTTCTAGAAAGAGAGGAACGAGCCATTCTAAGACCCAGGCACACAGACTTGCATAACATATGAGTCCCTTTTGTCTAATGCTTTCTCATGATTTCTCTCTGTCCATCTTCTGCACAGCTATACCCATTCCCTTAACATCCTATTTCCATTTGCCCTAGACTTCCACACATCTACCTCAGTTTATCCAGAAACCTGGAAAAACCTCTGAGATGTTCAATTCTAGTCCCTTTTCCCACAGAGCCTGCAGGAAGTGGGCTCTAGATTCATCCTTACCTAGTGGTCTCCACGACATCCTTCCTCAACTGCTGCAGGTATTCTCGGCGTCTGCTGGGCAAGTCAAATTCCCAGGTGGGGAGATCCTTGTTGGGCAGGAAGCCGAGTTGTTTCTGGGGACTGAAGCTTCGTGTTCGACGAAAGTTATGAAGTCGCTCAGCCCTCTCTCTCCTGAGGGTCTCTATGGTCTTTTTCTGCCTGAGACAAAATGTGATTGATTCACTGAAGCTAGTCCTGAAGATCCCTGAGGGGAGCAAGGGCAGAGCTAACATCTTACTGTTAAGTTTCCTAAGGCCCTGCCTTACCTTGCCCACCCTACCCTCCAGGTCCAGGACCCTTACCTGGCGTAGGGCTTCTCCCAAGAGGATATAGCAGGTTTTTGAGGAGTAAGCACCTCCCCTGTCCCACTCTGCAGCACCTTCAGCAGGGCATCTGTCTCCCCAAATCCATGGTGCAGCTTTGCTTCTGTGAGTTCCACACTGAGTGAGGGTTTCTGGACCCCAACTTGCAAAGGGATGTGCTCCAATCGGAGCCACTCAGGATCCTGGCTGTAGTCGTCAGGAGGTTGCAGGGGCCTTTGTGTTTGGTCTACAGAAGTGGAATCACACCTGACCCCTAGATTCTCACTGACATGCAGCCCTCCACAAGATTTATCCTGAACTCTATACCAGTTATCAAACTTGTTATGAACTGGGAGGTCCCTCAGGCTGTGATGCTGGAGATCAGAGGCCACACACACATGTGAACCAGGGCAGAGCACCCCCACGGGTTGGCAGCCCTGAAGTGACTCTACAGTAGGCCTTTGAAGCCCTGTAGCATCAGAGACAGGACAAGGGCTCAGGGGCTGAAGACCTCTCCATGAAGAAGATAGATCTAGGCTGGGCTGTGGCTCCACTATAGACACTGAGCTCTCATCCCCATTTGCTATCCTGCCCTGCCACTGACTTGGCCTCCTGCTGTCCTGTGGACCATGCTCCATGGAAGCCACCTTCTCAGGCACAAAGCTGTCATCTAATTTCAGGCTCCTGTGTCTTGGAGGAGGCGATGGCAGTCTGCTTGGGTCTCCAGTGCTGCTCGTGGGTTGAAGCTGCTGAAGGGCCTGCCCTAAGACACTAACTTGGAGGCTAGAGTTCTGATGTGGGCTGCATGGGGGCCTAGAATCAAGAACTAATTTCTCAGGACACTTTTCTAAAGGGCTCTTGCCTTCTCCATCCGGAGACCTAACTCTCTGAGAGACACCAGACTCATTAGTGGCTTGAGAATTATCCATTGAAGGTCTTGGGTTACCAACAGCAAGGTCAGGGCTGACGTTAATCTCCTGGAAGTCTTCAAGAGGATGAGCTGAGGGAGCTGACAGAGTCACGCAGACTAAGGGGTTGCTCAACTCCTGGGTGCTGGCACTAAATGTAAGGATCGGAGAGGAAGCCCTGTCCACCAGCACGGCACTCGAGGAGCCCATGTTCTTCTGGGTACTAGGCTCCTGGGTGAACTCTGAAGTACCAACTAAGAGCCCTGAGTGATGGGAGATGATGGAACTGTTGACCACCATGGAAGATTCCTCTGGCTGCAGGCTGGCAGGTGAGGAAACATCAGTAGAAGCTGGGGGGCTCATAAAAGGAAGGTTCTGCCCAAGATGGGCTTTCTGAAACCTCATCAAGTGTGATGAGGGCACAGGAGGGCTCTGTGGCTTATAGTGGGTACTTCCTTCATGGGGATCTGGGGAGTCTGTTTCCTCTGCCCCTTTCTTCTCAAACACTTCTGGGACATCTCCCTTTTCTTGAACCACGGTAGTGACACCTGAGTCCATCACTTCAAGGATCACACTGACTTCCTGAGGCTTGACATCTCGGGCCTGGAAGGGCAGAGGTGGTAAGGCCAGGTCCGTCTGGATACCCTCATCAACAGTGGTCTGAGTAGAACCGTCCATCATGAGGGCCTGTGGGGCCTCATCTGGGGAGTCACTCTTGATATTCTGCTCCTTTGGGACTACATTTGGCTGAGAGAGACTCCCAAGCAGCTCGGAAGTGCTGTGCAAAAGCTGTGAGAGGTGGAGAGAAAGGTTGTGCATGCTGGTCCAGGAGGCCAGTTCAGAGTCTGACATTGTCCTGGCATCAGACTGAGCAGAGATATCGGTGCAACTCCAGTGGAGCCTGCTGCCCAGGGTCTGTGTTCCCTGCTCAAAGGTATTCATCCTGGCCTGCCCCACAGCACAGCCTGTCTCAGATGGGCAAAGCAGTATGATCTTATCTACTGCAGCTGTGGCACTCCCTCCAGCCAGAGGCCACTCACTCTTCAGACAGCCTCTCCTCTCAGAAGAGCCCTCGAATGAAGGTCTCGTGTCAGGATCCCAAGCTGAGGCAACTCCTTCAGATCTAGTCAAGATATGGGGCTTCTCCATGGCAAATGAGGAACTCCCTATTTCCCAGTCTTCCTTTGAACTTTGGTCATTCTCAATATTGTTGTGCATGCTTGACTGATCCCCAGTTTTGGCGTCAGTCCCTATATGGGAATGAAATGGGGATCTCTTGTCGTCCAGGGCACTATCCATGCTGGAACACTGAGCCATATTTGATGGTATTAGGCATTGGGGTTTCTGGCTACAAGAGTCATCAACTGCGCTTCCAAACACATACTGCTTCCAGCCAATATGCACAGGTCCCTGTGGACACCAGGGCAGGACATAGGAATTTCTGTCACTAGAACCAAAGTGCAGTACTTCTTTGTCCACCTGAGAGTGCCAGTTCTCTGGCATACCCTGGACACTTAGTTTATCTGTCTTTCCTTGATGGGCCTGTTCCAAAGTACCAGGCATCCAGTTAGTCATGAAATCAGGGGTTGGCATACATGACACAGTAGATGATGTTGGATAAGGAGGAATGACAGGTTTCAGAGGCTCGTGTTCAGTGGAACTATTGTTCAAGTTATAAGAAGCTTTCTGATTGCAATCCTGAGTCTTTGGAGATGTTGGCAATGGATTTTCTAAGGAATGGCCCCTGAGAAGGGGGCTCCACAATCTCTTTGGCCTCGGTGCATCCTCATCTGTCAGGGAAGGAGACTCCACACTCAAATTTAATTCTTGAAGAGATCGAGAGGAGCTGATCACAGAGAACCGAGGTCTAGGGGAGTACCTGGAATGCTTAGTGCCAGAGAAGACTGCAATCACTGGGAGTGCATGCCTGGGGCGGAGAGCCAGCTGTTCCCTTCCAGAGTGGAGTTGACCAGGAGTCGGGGCAGCAGGATGTGATGTTTCAGTTTGCCCCAAGGGCAGAGAAGCTGAGCCGGCAAGGTCTGAAAACAAAGTCTGAGACACAGGAGACTTGGTTACAACTATCTCCTCTCTTTCATTATCTCTAGTATGAGAGCCATCAAAGCCACCTTCATTTGAAGATGATAGATTTCTGACCTGGGCATGGTCTTTGCCACCTCCTGAAGCTTGCTCTCTTTGTTGCTCTTCTTCCTCCCACGAAGTCTCAATTTGAGGATGGCAGATGTGTTTTAACCTGTCTATAAAATTGGCTTGAGGACCCAAGCAGCTGTGACCCCTGACCTCAGTGGAAGGTTGTGTCTTTCCTGAGCAGTGTCTGGTAGTATTTTCTAAATGTCCATACTGAGCTGCTATTACCAGTGTACCATCAACAGATCCTTCATTTAAATTTAGGGTATGTGGTCCCTGAGTCACTACAGGAGGTTCTGGCTTGGTTTGAGAGACTTGTGCATTCTCCCCTACAGAGTTATCCTTCCAAGTCCTCAGTGGCTCAGAGTGTGTTCCTGCAGGATTGGTTGTATAAACATCCTTAGGGGCAATGCTGGTCTTCCCTGAAATGTTTTCCTCAGAACCTTCAACTGACCTTCCACCAGTAGCTACATGGGTGAGGCCATTTGCCTTCACTTCTGAGGTGGATAGGGAAGAGCGGCGTTGAGCTGGAGAGGAGACAGCAGCTGCAGTGGATGGGTTGGGGACGCTGTTGTCTAGAGACCCAGGTTCTACATTAACATGCTTATACTTGGGAAAGCTCTCTACTGTTCTGTCCACTTCACAGTCCCTATATGGAACTATGGAAGGTGAGTGGACAGGGTGTGGGGCAGCCTGAGGAGTTCCTTTCCTAAGGACACCGTCTCTATAACATGGCAGAGTGGAGGCATGGGAGCAGCAGGCATGAACAGCAGTAGGTTGAGAACCACTTAGTTGAGAAATCATTCTGTTCTCTTCCTCCTCATAAGATGAGTCAAGTGGCCTGCTGCCTCTAGTTCTCCCCTCTAAGACAAGGCACTCTTTTGGGCACAGACATGGCACCTCTTTTCTAAGTCCACTAAGATGCAGGCTAGGGATCTGACCTACAAGTGGAGTTGACCTTGGATTCTTGTCAGCTCCATGGGCTTCTGCCAGGTCAGAGTCAACATTTCTCCACTGGACAGGATGATATGTGTGAGCTTCTGCTTCAGCCTTTTTAGGAGCCCCTGGTTGAACAGCACATGGCGTTGGACTTGCCTTAATTTCTTCTAAGCCAGTAGAAGCATCTGAGCACTGGACATGGTCTTTCTTGGGCCCTAAAAGGCCTGCAGAATTATCAACATGACAGATCACAGACTGACATTCATAATGGATTGCTTTTCCTTCCTGTGTGGTCACTAAGATTTTAACTGAGCCTCCTCCACATGTACAATCTAGATGTCTAGGTTCCTGATACTCTGGGATGCTGTCCTGACTACCAAAGGATATGCCCTCTGCAGTTTTCCATGCAGCTAACTGACTTTGCCCATGCAGAATCCTGCCAGGATCATCACAAGAAGTTTGAAAAGGTAAGACAGACACTTTCTCTGATCCCACCCTCCCATCCTGCTCTACAGCTGATATAGAAAGAAGCCTGTCTGAGGCCAAAGGATCAACAAAGGGCAGTGTTCTGGATGTTTCTTTCTTTGTCTCTATGACTTCAGAAGACTCAGACCATCCACTTGCTCCACAAAACTGTCTTGACTCTCTAATACAATGTCTTTTTTCTAGACCTGGGATTATGTGAGAGGAAGCCAGCAAATGATGCCCTGGTCCTCTGTCAGTTTCAGGACTGGGCAGATGCTGAAAGTTCCCTGCACTGGGAAGCATGGCTTGCATTTCCTTCTCAGCATCCAAGAGGTCTACAGACACAGCAGCTGGAGATGCCATATGCAGTCCTCGAGCTTCATTTCCATTCCTGGTGCTTCCCCACCCTAATTTAACCATTTGCTCCAGAGGCCTACCTGCAGCCTCAGAAAAACACCCTTCTTGTGAAGTCTCATAAGGAAGGGCTGTCTCCTCAGTCACAAAGTCATTAAGCTGCTTCCTCTGTGCTTTTGCCTGTCTGATCTCTGCCAAGATAGCCAGACATATGGATGCATGTATAGAGGAGTCAGGTAGCAGCGGAGGCTCTGGATCCGGCGCCCTCGGTAGAGACAAGGATGTTGAGCTAGCAGACTGCTGATCGGACTTCTCTTCCGTCTGCCTTTCCTCCTCACCCTGGTCACTATCTTCCTGTAGGAGGAAACTGACCCTCTTTTCAGCCTGCCTTGAGACGCTGTCCAAGGAACTGTTTATTTCTTTTTGTACAGTTGCCTCAGATTCAAAACCCAAATCTTCCTGGATAGTCAAGCCTGTTGAAGTGACTCTGAAGTCCCCTCTCTGGTCTTCTTGGGAGCTAGTGCTTCCTGTTATCCAGTCCTCTGTCTCTAGTAGAATGCTCTCTGGTATAAGTGACTGATCATTAGCTCTCATGACTGTGGGCGTCACAGATTCACACCAGGCAGTGTGTGCAGCTGAAGCATCTCCTATACCACTTCCCTGTGGGCCACTGCTTCTGGCTCCTCCACTGTAATCCTGATGCCCTACTCCTGTTGCCAAGGAACTTCTATTAATTTTCAACACTGTAGGCTCTAACATGTACTCAGCTGAAGAGATGCCTTTAGTATCAGAGGCATGCAAACAGCTTCTTGGTAAGCTTGGAAAACCCAAAGGTTGGGTACCACTCAGTTCTATATCAGGAAGAGTTGCAGAGAAGCCTGTCTGATTATGGAATGGGGAGACAGTTTCCTGGCTGAAAAATGTACCCTTACAATCCTGGCTTGGAGTTGGAAGTTTTTGGGTCAGTGAGACCAAAGTCTCTTGCAGCTTCCCTCCCTTTTCCATGGCCAGTTCTTCAACTCTCCTGTGAGTTTTTGCATCCTCCAACTCTGAATCACTTGGGAGTTCAACAGTTTGGCTTTCCTGAACACTTCCCATAGTCTCTGGTTCCTTGAGACTTTCCAAGGCCCAAGCCCGGTCTTGGAAGTCTGATGATGCTTTTAGCAGCTTGTCATCCTTCTCAGGGGAGCTCTCTACAATGGGCTGCAATGGCAGAGCACTGGCTAACACGTTCGTTCTCTTTGAAATGTTGCTAGGCTCTCTGAGAGCTATGTCCTTCTCCAAAGAATCACACATGTCTCTTGCATGCCCATCTACTCCAGGTGGTGGGTGTGAGTGTTCACTCTCAGACTTCCCCTTTTGTGCATGTCCCCTTGACCTAAAGGGGCTTCCTATGCTTTTCTGAACCTGGGCATTATTACTGATAGCATTGTTACCCTCCATTTCCCTAGCTTCACTGTCTCCAAAGATACCATCCTCAATCTGTATTGGAAAAGCTGGCTGACTCTCAAAGAATGGATGTTTTCCAGAACTTCCTGGCATCAGACCATGGTCAGCCCTCTCCTGGTCCTGGAGGTCCTGGAGCATAAACTCTGTACTTGGCATTTGAGAAACATGAAGCTGCTGCTTCTGCTTGGATTCAATTTCTAAGATGTCAGTTTCCAGCTGCATTACACTCCTGATCAGCCTAGCCATTTCGTCGGCACTGTTAACTCTCTTATTCTGTCTCTCTCCCAAAGGTTCTTCTTTGGACTTTATTTCTTGGGATTGCCCATGAGCCTTGCATTCTCTAGGTTTTCTTTCCTGAGAGCACATGGCTAGATGGCACCTTTCACAGGTGTACTGGGTTCCTGGAAGACTAAACTCTTGCTGGATGTCTTTGGAAATCACCTCCCTGGGAAGCACTGTTTCATTCCTCCCTTCCCACCTGTGAGGTGGGCTCCCACCTCCTGTCATGGTCTCCGGGCTGCTTACTCGACTGTGCAGCGATCTGGATGTCAAAGGAAGAGCAGTTTCCTCAGGTAGGACCTTCTCCAGGTCCAAATTGGTGATCTTACCAATGAAGTCAGACCTGGCTCCAGATGAAGACCGGCTGTGAACAGCACAGGCCTGGATCTGTGGTGGGAGTGGGCTCTGTTCTTCCCCACTTGTCTTGGAATCACAGATGAAGAGCAAAGTCTTTGACTCAGAGCCGTCAAAGGCAACACTGCAGTGATGCCAGGCAGAGGCCCCTCCTCCTTCCTCGTGGACTGAAAGGCTGTACTTTTTATTTAAAATTCCAAGTTGATTTCCACATTCACAAACTTTGAGGCTGGTAGAAGGGAGATGATGTCTGTTCTGAGCAAAAAAACAGTAAGCAGAATGGTGGTTTCCTTCCTTTCTCGTATTTCTAGAGCGTTGCTCCAGTTCTTCAGTGACTTCTGTCTTCAGATGAGTTGGCCTCACTGTCACCTGCTGAGACGCATCAGTCTTAGAATTCTGGCCTTGTGACAACTTGGGTAAGTTATTCCTCCAGTGAGCTTTCTGGAGGACCCGATAGCTATGACCAAAGCCCCAGGCTTCCCTGGGGGGTGGGGATGGCACCCAGGCTTCCCTGCAGGCTGGAATCTCTAAGGCAGTTTCTGTCAGGGCATCCCTGCTTTTGGTTACATAAAATGTTTCCAAGGAAGGTGGCTGCAGGGAAGATGGGGAGGGACTCCAGGGAGCAGAGTGCAGGAAGAGCTCTGGACCTGATGGGAAAGTACAAGAAGCATCTGTATGTGTTCCATCTGCTTCCTTGGCATGCTGCTGAGAATCTGCCTTCTCCTCCAGCAGTGGCTGCTGACAGCTGTTGTGACTTAGTCTTGGCTGAACAACAGTGCTTTTTTCAAGAAGAGTCCCATCTTGGGGCCAATGGTCTGTTTTGGTAGGTAAGATATCACGATTGTGAAAAGCCTTCTTCTGGAAGAAATACTGCCCAGAGGAAGTTATCAGCCCAGGGTTCCTGCTACCCTGAAGGCACCCTCCCAAGCTGGTCTGTTTGACTTCCCATGCTTCTGTCATATAATTTGGTGTCTTATTTCCTGCTATACAGGTCTGTGCATTTATAGATTCAGAAGTCAGTGATTCTAGGTCTGCCGAGTATGCCCCATTGTAACTCCCTTTCTCGATGGTACTCAAGAGATCAGAAGTACTTTCTAAGTTGCCACTCAAACTGTCATGCTCTTTCTCTGCTCTTAAGTGCCTGATTTTTGATATGTGGACTGGAAAGTAGCTGAAATCTAAATTTTTAGATACCCCAGGGTCAACTGGCAACTGAGTATCTACTTTATCAGAAGCTTCAGCTAGGGAGCTAGACTCTTCCTCCAGGCAGGAGAAAGCTGGCCTGGGCTCTCCCACAGCTTCCAAAACAGAATTAGAGAGTTCAAAGAGATACTTCTGCTGAAGGGCAGCCCAGTCCTTCACATGAATACTACCTTCATGAGCCAGTGAGGAGGCAGAGGGAGCCAGCACACTTGACGTGTCAGAATTGTGCGACTCTTCAGAGATGCCGTGGTAGGTCATGTCAGGAATTTCTTTGTCCCGGAAGACACCATCAGCTCCTGGCTGAAGGAACCTTTGACTTCCACAAACTGAGGGCTTGGATATATCAGAAGCAGAGGTTATGTACAAACCTGAACTACAGGGTGGCTTAGTACTGCCTTGGGGCAGTTTGTAGCTAGGTGACAGGACTGTACCTGGTGGCTTTACTTCTTCGATATTTAGCCTGTGTCTAGGCATCTCATCACGGGGCTGAATTTCATGTACATCAGGACTTGGACATAAAGAATGCACAGTCGCTGAGGGGCTGCTGGGATTGACCTTAGAGTCACAAGAGAACCAGGAATCCACAGATACCAGGGGGCTCTCTCTTGTAAGCTGCATGCCTTGGAGAGAGTTGGCTTGTTCAGAATAGCTTGCCTCCATTTCTGACTCAGGCTGCTCACAGTGGGGCTGGAACTCAGGATCAAGGTAAAATGAATTGCTCTTTGTCAGGAAGGCATTAGGCCTGACTCCTGTTCTGTGCTTGATAGGGCTAGGCGTGCATGTTGCCTCCTGGTCTACTGCAGGTAGGGCGGCCTTGTGCAGGTGCCAAAAAGTCTCTGTAGGCATCTCATCAGAAGAACCAAGGAAAGGTTCCTCTTGCCTATCTTCTCCCAGTTCTTCAGCATCAGTCAGGCTGTCCAGGGAAAAGCTCCTTTGTGCTTGACCACATAAGGTACTGTCTGAGGGCTTCAGGAGGTGTCTCACAGAGACTGAAATTCTGGCCCTTGAATGCCCATGGTTCATGGTGGAATGTTCATCCCCTGAGTCTTCTGAGGGGCTGTGGTACCCTTTCTCAACAAGTGAATCCTCAGATATTTGACTAATGTCACTTTCAGAGTTCTCTCGAGCTGGAAGATGCCATGTTCCCTGAAGGTCCTCTGGCTTCAGCCGATCCTTTGGGACTTTGGCATAGACATAAGAGAGAGAATCCACTGAGTAACTGCTATCATTGTCAGATAAATCGTTGTCCTCTCTTACACAATCCCTTATAGGTTTGGAATCTGTGCAGAAGGCCAGCGTGTCTGGATCCCCTGTGTTAGGTTGTCTTTTTAAAGAACTGCCATGAGGCGAACGAGAGAACTTTTTGGCAATATCTCTGGCCCTAGCTGCCAGCACCCTCTGATGTTTTTTTGATGCCTTGCTTGGAGGTGTTGGTTTGGATTCTGTCTGAAAAGTCGTAATTACTTTCCCATGCCCAGCTGCTTGCTCGGCTCCACTGAGGTAAGTAGAGTGGGCAGTGGTTTCCTTGGGAGCCTTGTAGGTTCCACAGCTCCCCTCTTTTTGCCATGCAGTTTGTGTGTTGCCAGCGGCTTCTAGTCCCTTAGCTCTTCTGGTCTGTGCAGCAGGGGTGTGGGTCCTTGAACCATCTCTTGACTTTAGCTTTTTAGTTGCTAGGCCCTGGGAAGACATCTGACAGGACTGCTTACTCAACGACTCAATTTTCTGGCTACTGACAGACTCATGGCTCACAGTGAGACAGGTGCCTTGGGTAGAGACTCCCTTCCTGGTTGAGGCTCCCCTGGCAGGATAGCGCCTCCAGCCTGGTGGATGGAGGCTGTTCTTGCCCCGGCAACCTGTTCTTGGAGGGTAAGCAGTAGCCTGGGGAATGTAATCTGCTGATAGGGTTTTTTCTGGTATTTGGTGAATTGGGTCAGGAACAGGTGGTGACATGGTAGAAGGATCCCAGTTCATGAAAGCACTGTGGAAATAAGGAAAGCCATCTCAGAAAAGTAATGTCCCCTGCGTACTATCAACAGAAGGAATATGGCTCTGAGAGGATGGAAAGCAGGCCAATGCCACTCACCGTGTCCTACAGTCCTCTGCTCAATACATACAAAAGCAGACTGTTGACAACAGAACCCTGGCGTTCAGAATTCTCAGATGCATACTGTCACTCAACCCCCGCCCTCAACTGCTTTATCTTAGGAAAAAGTTTAAATGAATTCTATTTCAAGCAGTTGTCCATGTGAGGAAAGCAGGAACAATTGTAATCCTATAAAGACTCAAGCAGATAGATCTAAGAGGTGGTACCATCTACAGAACTCACCCACTCTGCACACTAATAAGAAACAGGAAAGAATTACTATAGGAACTTCAAAAACTTAGCAGTAGGTGGCAGTATATAAATCCAATTAGATCTTGATTTGAAAATCCAATTCACATTTGAAGCATCTTGAGAAAATGGAGTGTGACCCGGGTTTAGATTCTACCACGCTATCAACCATGATCTTGGTAGATATGATTTGGTAGGTATGACAGAATATATTTTTAGAGGTACATACTTAAAGAAATGGTATTAAAATTACATGATGTTGCTTTAAATACTTTGGAAGATAGGATGGTAGGACCAGGAATGAATTAGCACATCTTTATAATTGCTGGAAGTAGGTGCTGCATAAGTCTCGCAACTTTGTCCACGTTTAAAGTTTTCCCATAATAAAAAATTGGTTTTTCTGCTCAGTTATTTAAAGAACAAAAAGGTGAGCAAGCATAACAGCAACAAACATTGTGTAATCTTCTGAGCAAGGCCAAGGATACACAGAGCAAGACATGAGCCTCTACTCCAGGAAATCTGGGAGATAATATGCTTCCCACCCTGTGACAGCAGACAGGGAGTGAGGAGCAGAGGAGGCAGATCCAGACAGGAGCCTGGAAGTCATGTGTCAGTTCAGGGAGGAGGCAGCCTGTGAGATCAAGGAGGCCTGTGGAGGCAGGACAAAGAGGAAGCTGCATCTGGACAGTCTAGGTCTAAAACATACATGCAAATGAGGCAAGCTCCTGTAGAAGAGGAAATGAGCTGGGAGCAAGAGTGGCTCTGCAAGGACAAGAAACAGCCCGCCTGTGAGAAGATGCAGACAGAGGAGAGAAGCCTGAAGGACCAGAGGAACAAACACCTCTCCACCTCACACATCAAGAAGCCCTGGGGAGTAAAGAACACTGCCTGGACAGCTGGGTTAACTCCCGCTCCTGGTGCACATCACTGGTACCTGTGTAGCCGGGACAGGTGTTGGCTGCAGAGCCTTCGGAAGCTTAGAGAGCTGCAAGTTGTCCATCTGCTTCTACGCTGAGAACCTGAGTGTGAGGTGTTAGAGCTGGAGACCCAACTTGGGGCCTTGGAGGCACCATCATCTGGGAGCCAAAAGAGTGCCCTGAGCTGCTTCAGTCTTCTCTGGGTCTCTAGCAGCCTCCGCTTCTTAATAATTCTCTCCAGCTGGAATGAGACCTTTTTCTGCCTGATGTTCCACACTGCAGCCCGAGAAATGCGTGTCCGCAAGCGCTGCAGCTGCAGCACCCTCTTCTGGCTTTGAACCAGAGGGGATGGTAGAGTCTGAGGATCTGTTGGAAGCCAAGCATCAGGTGCCACAAAGGTCTCAAGTTCTTTCTCTTCTCCACTGTTGTCTTCTTGCTGTGCCTCCTGTAAGCTGGCTAGCCTGGTCTCTTCTCTGAGTAGCCACTGCTGGTCTGGGAACCAAAAACACCCAGAGAGAAGGTCAGCACTTTCTGCCTATGGCTGCCTAGACTCAGACATCTCCAGCCATGGCAGGAGCTGTGAGGAGTGGAATGGATTTGACAGAGTGGTGTGGCAAGTGAGAGCTATAGGGCCTCCCTAATGAAGGGGAAGGAAAGGAAGATGTGTAGGCCTCAATGTAACAGTGGACAAGTGGGGTGGGTGGAAATGCGCAGACAAGCGTGCCACTGGAGGGACTCAGCAGAAGGTGCATCATTCTGAGGGGCCATAGAGCAGTCCATTTGCTTATTTCCAACCCCCTTGTGTGAGCTTCTGGTCTCTAAAAGAAGGAGAGAACACCTAGTACAAAAGATTCCATTTTATCACAAAGACAACAAAAGCCAGAATACAGAAGTTTGGCAGCATGGAACTGAAGAAGGCAGACGAAGCAGACCTTAGACAAAGGCACCTACTGTCTTTTATCTGCTGACTGTTATGTATCTGGTCCAATTCTGGGTCCTTCTGAACACTACTCTGCCCTTCTACAGCCTGTTGCCTCAGATCCTCCACATAACATTGCTGTTGCTCAGTCTGGGCTTTGTGGGAGATCTCGCCATTTCTTGATGTCTGCTGGTCCTTGTCACACTCCTCTTCCAGCACTTTCCTGTGACAAAAGGTCCAGGGTCACCCAAGCAAATCAAACTCAGACTTAAGTCCCTCTGAGAGTACTCCTGAATTCAACAAGGTAGAAAGAGCTTCAGGCATCTGGCAACTTGGAACAAACAGGTGTGTTGTCATAGGCAACTCATGAAGTCACAGAACGGGGACAGAGAAGAGTCATCAGACTATCATGTTCTTAGAATTGTGGGTTTAGCAGAAACCCAAATCCACTTTCATAAGGAAATTATGAGAGTAAAACATGTTTTTGTTGTTTATATTTTGTTTGTTTTGTTTTGAGACAGAGTAACCTTATTTAGCCCTAACTGCCTGGGAACTCACAATATAGAGCAAGCTAGGCTTGAACTCACAGAGTTCCACCTGCCTCTGCCTCCTGAATGCTGGGATTAAAGGCAAGTTCAACCACATAGTTCATAAGGAAATCATAAGAGTTAAAGGCACAAAAAGCCAAGTGTGGGGTGGCACATGCCTTTAACTTTAATATTCTGGTTGCATAGGCAGGAAAATTATGAGTTTGAAGTTAGTTTTCCTGTCTCAAAAATAAATAAGTAAAATAAAAGACAGCTAAATTAAGAAGCTCTGTCTAGACTGGAGATGGCTTAGTGGAGAAAGCATTTGTCATGTGAATATGAGGATCAGGGTTTGGATCCCAGAATACATATAAAAGCCAAGCAAGCATGGTAGCTACCTGGAATCCCAGCCCTTGGAAGGCAGAGGATTCCCCAGTACAAGTTGGTTAGTCTAGAATTGGCAAGCTTTGGTGTCAGTGAGAGACCCTGCCTTAATAAAGAGAATGAAACCATTGAGAGACGCTGATGTCACCTTTAGGCCTACACACATACTCCAAACGTGTACATTCATACACACACACACAGAAGCACTTTGTCCTTTAAAAATGAAAGAACTGAAAGAATTAAGGGTTTCTACTAAAAATTCCCCCAGGAAATACAGAAAAAAAAAACTTCAGAAATACTGGAAAGAAAAACTGTTAACCCAAAACATTTTGTACATATATTTACATATATGTAATATGTATGCTTGTATTAAGACTCCAAACTTGAGGCCACAGTAATGGCTGAATTATAAACACAAACCCATCAGTGATGCCTAGATAAACCCAGCTAAAACCCATAGAACATCAGATCCAAGAAGCAGAGTAGGGATCCATATATTCTAAATCCCCTGGGGTTACTCAGTTTTCTTCCCTGGGTGTTTCCCCAGTTCTCAGATTTACAACTTGCTTGTTTGTAGGAGAGCGCTCATTCCTTCTGGGGAAGCAGCAGCTGCACCAATTCTGCATGGGGCTGCAAGGAAGACTGCAGGATGACAGTGTAATTACCCAAGCTGCCACACAGCCTCAGCCAAAAGGATGCCTCTGCTAAGCACATTTTTCAAGTTCCCTGGGTAGGTTAAAAAAAGAAAATAACTATGCTACATGTCTGGATGTGGTACCAAAACCAAGTTCTCATTACTGGGCAGTCAAGGACCTATATCTAACAATGGTTGCCTTTCATCTTAGGTAACTCCAGCATCCCCTAGATACTGCCTGGTCACCACCTACTTTGCCAGGACTCTTCTGTACCCTCTGCTCTCCCTGGCAGTTGTCCTCTGCTATCTCAGGGCCTCACAGTCTGCAGCAGGATTTAGCAGTGGTTACTATTACTGTAGCAGCAGTGAGAGCTTCTTCTGGGATCTAGACATTTAAAGGTAAGTGCCACACCCCCCAACTCCAAATGAGAAATGCAAAGAGCACATCTTGGAGGACAAAATTCCTTCCTGGTCCAGATCACTACTACAAGGAGAAAATGGCCATTTCCCTCCAGTTTAGAAAAAGCTCTGGCCCTCTGAAATGCTCCTCCAGGAATAAACGAGGGACAGCAGCTTAGGATGAGGGCAGCCCTGGAGCCAAGCCCAGGTAAGAGTAGAAGGAAAAGACTGCCCACAAATCCAGACCGGGTCATGCATTTTCCTCTGTCAGTTCCACCCCCTGACCTCTTTGTCCAATCACTAGCTTGGGAGGCATACCACCTAACAAGGGCTGGCACCAGATACTGGCTACTGTAGATGGATAGACCCAGCACAACCTATAGGCCCTCAAGCTGGTGCTGAAAGGTAGGGGCAGTCCATATGAGAGGCTTTGATTCTGAAGCCCTTCACTGTCCTCGGATAAAGAGCATCTTCCTTCTGAGTGTTGATGAAAGATCATGTCAGTGCCCATGGAGCTGAGGATCCTAAAGATTTTAAAGGTAGGAGGAGACTCCAGAGCACTCTGGGGAGGACAGTGAGCTACCTGAGACAAGGAACAAAGGAAGAAAGGAAAGCAGCTTTCCTGGAGCCTCACAGTCACTGGGGCCATGGGAATGTGGGTATGCCCACTCAAATCCTTTGGTCTTATCACAGGATCCCTGGAAGGGGATAGCCACACTCTTAATTTAGAGGTAAGGAAACAGGGTCAGAGAGTAAGTGACTGGCCTGAGATCACACAGCCTTTATGTCAGTCTGTTTGCCCAATTCCAATGCATCTTTTCTGTATCCGGAGCTCTCTATGTTGCAGTGTTGTTCCCGATAAACTCTGCACTTTGAGAAAAACCAGGTCTTCACTCTGTCTTCCTAACAGAAACCTTACCCAAAACAAAGTCTCCTTCATAGCTTCCCTACAAAACAGGAAATCCTCTCTGAGAAAACAAGAACTTTGACCTTAGATCCTAATTCTTCTTGGCCTGCATATCTTTGTCAGTTTTTCCAACTTGCCCTTCACTCCACAAGACCCCAAGACCTAGGATCACACTCCCTTAAACCTCTGCTGTAGCAAAGTTCAACCTGTGAGCACTCTATGAGGGTTCACTGCTCACCCCCACCCCAGTCTGACAGCTCCCACTATCGTGTCAGATCCAAGACTGTCTTCATCTGCCATTGACTGTTCCTGACCAGAAGAACCTGCTGTGAATCTTGACTCACAGGCGCTTGGTGTTCTTGCTAGTGATCTCACTGGTACCAAGTCCTCTGCTGAACTTTCCTACAGTTAGATATGATGGTGACAGTATAGGTCAGTCTAGCTAAAAGGAACAACAGAGCTTCCAGGGGCAAACCCAAGACGGAGATTCTGTATAAGAAGGCTAATGAACTAGAAAACCAGCTGCTGTCAATTGCATATAAAACTAACTCAAAAGTTCAAAGTTTATCACAAAGCAGGTGAAGCAGGAGCAAGAACAAAATCTCAAGATGCTTCTTATTGTCCTCGTAGGCCCCACTGTCTCATGTGCACAGTTATGCATTGCTGGTTATGAGAGAATAAAGAAGAGATTAATTTTTTAGAATCCAGAGGAAGCCATATAATCTGGAAGCTAACAGAAGTATGTAGTATGAGCTCATGCACTGGGATTTAAAGGGAACTGTGGGGAAGTGAGGTTTAGACCAGTACCAAAGATGTCTGCTAACACTTGCCAGTTATATCTTGTCGGCAGGGAGATGCATGTCTTTCAGAGAGGAGAGATGAAATACCAAGCAGGAAGCAAATGAAGGCCATGACTACCTGAGTTACAAACTCGGCATTCAGTTCAGCATTTCCAGACTACTCATGGTCAGTTTTTCATTGCTGTAGCAAACACTTGAGAGAAAACGCTTGAGAAAAGGATTCATCTTAGCCCACTAGTTCAGAGGCCCCACACCTCCACAGCTTGGGGCATGAGCATCACTGTGGGGGATGGTGCAGAGCGGCTCACCTCATGGTCAATGGAAGGTAGAGAGGAGAATGGGGGAGAACAATGCACCCCCAAGAATGCACCTCCAGTAACCTACTTCCTCCAGCTTTACTCTACCTCCCGAAGGTTCCAGAACCTCAAAGGGTATGCCACAAGATGGAGCCTGCGGGGAACCTTTCATTTTCAAGCCATAATACTTGTTCAAGTCAATCAGGACCAGATGTGATCAGACCTTTGTTGTTAACAAACCCTTCCCGGTTCCATTCCCTTATGGACTAAGAAGCAAAGCCAGGAGACTCCACTGGAACAAGCAGCAGATTCTCACCTCTCCTTCCAAAGGACAGGACAGAGACCCAGTCTTGAGGCAGTGACATCTCCATCCAAGTCCAACCATTCCAAAGAGCAACTGCTGCCAAGAGCCTCTCCAACCTGGGATAAGGAAAAAGCAACTGGCCCAATGGAGCATGCAGAAGCTTCCCTAACAGCCACTCAGAAATCGCAGCCAGGCTTACCTTAAGCCTGTTGTGCCGCAGCAAAGCAGCCTCAGCTGGGTGGTTAAATCGGAACTTCTGTGCTTTCCCCAGGGTGATGACAGCTCCTTTGACACACAGACAAGAGTTCAGTCCATGATTGTGCTCTGAGTACATACTGTGAGATAAATTTTGCTAAGTTGATATGTATTAATTATACATCTCGCAATTACAATCAGATAAACAGCAGGACAAGTTTCAGGCAGCATAGTCAGAGAAACTTCATGAAGAGGCAGACTATGAGTTCAGTTTCAGAGAACAGGATTTGAATGGATTAGTACTAGAGGGATACTGACACCAAGTCTGTACAGCACACTAAGAACAACTTCAACAAACAAACAAACAAACAGACTTCATCCAATCCTGCCTTATGCTCCCATTATCTCAGATGGAGAAAGCAAGGCTCAGATAAACAAGCACAAATTTCCACGAGTCATTCTCTACTCTTGGGTTCTAGAAGGAGGATTGTATTAAGAAGTCTTCGGTCTCGGTGCAGAGGTTGAATAACACATGATTGAAGCTTGCTTTATTGAGCTCTGTGGGGTCCTGAGGTTGAAGATGTCCATCATTCATCCAGATATACACAGGGAGGTAGACAGTCCTACCTTGAGTCAGACGGCAGGAAGCAGTGACCTCTCGGCCATTGACTGTACAGCGTGCCCCTTGGGTAGGCCGGAGAATGACCACCCCACAAGTGCTAGTGATTGTGCAGTGGTCCCTCTCAATCCACTGGCCCTGAAGGACTAAAGAGGTGTGGGGGAGGGGTAACCTGAGTGGGTTAGCCATTCAGGAGAATGACTCCCAGTTTTTGCAAGATCCATCCCAACAGCTGACGTGGAAAGAATACCCACCACCTGAAACCACCCTCAACGTCTCCCCCTAGATAAGCCTCCTTCCTTCCAACTTCCAGACCCAAAAGCTAGCAACAGAAAGAGAAGCAGACTCTTAATGCTTCAGAGACTCCTTTTCTCTCCAAAACCAGTAGTAAACTTTTCAGGCACAAATGCTGCCTATGTGTCAGACTACCTACCTATGTCCTGTTCCTCGTCTGAATCAATCCTTCCTATTTTTGTTGTCCCCTCCTGTGGGCAGGAAAGAGAGAAGACATTTCACAAGAATACAAAGAGACTCAGCCCTGCCCTCAGAGCACAGTCCACACTCAGGTGGAATTGGGGTCTTCCCATGCCCATCTCATCAGCATTGTCAGAACCATTCCCAGCTTCAGTCTGGGCTGTCCTGCCTTCCATCCACTTGCTCTGCAGTCCAGGAGGACAGAGGAAAATAGTAACACTATAGGAGTACACAGCACTGACTATGTGCAAAGCCCATCAAGTGCTGACAAACCCTGAAGTCAGGGAATAGATACAGCTGTTGGTCAGAAATTCTCCAGTAAAAGGGATAGACATATACTTCATTCTCATAGCAGCTAAGGTTAGTGTGGCCTGTGTTTGATCCAGGAGACTCAGAGACTTTCTATGAGACTTATGAATTGTTACCTTCTTGCTTTGCAGAGGAAGCATAAGAGATGCCAAATTCTATGAAGGGTAAAGCACAAATAGGGGGAGATGCCTCTAGAGTCAAAAGGAACTGAAAGAGAGTAGAAGAAAGCACAGGCAACCAGTGTTAATATAAGCAAACCACTGAATTAGTAGAAGACTAGAGCCTTTGGGCCCCAGGATTATGACAAATCTACTAGAGACCATACACCCTGTTAGGGCAGAGATGCTAACTTGAAGGCCCATCATCACCATTTCTTAAGTAGACATTTGCTATGTCCCAGGTATTATGCTGGACATTTTGTAGACATCTTTTTGTTTGCTTGCTAGTTTTTAAAAAAAAAAATGTTTTTGTTGCTTTTTTGAGACAGGATCTCTCTGTGTGGTCCTAACTGTCCTGGAACTCGCTCTGTAGACCAGGCTGACCTCAAACTCACAAAGATCCACTTGCCTCTGCCTCCCAAGTGCTGGAATTAAAGGTTGCGTCACTACCACCCAGTTTTTGTTTGCTTTTTGAACCAGTAACCACTGTGTATCTTGGGCTGGACTTGACCTCTCACCTTCCTGTCTCAGTCTCCCAAGGGCTGGGATCACTAGCATTTACAATTATGCTTGGCTTTATTTAATACTTTAACACTCCAAATGCTGGTATTACTATTTCCGTTTGTCTGTCTGTTTTGTTTTGTATTCCAAGACAGGGTTTCTCTGTGTGTAGCCCTAGCTCTCCTGGACTTTACTCTGTAAATCAGGCTGGCCTTGAACTCACAGAGATCTGCCTGCCTCTGCCTCTCTACTGCTGGGATTAAAGGTGTGCGCCACCATTGTCCAGCTTACTATATCCGTATTATAGGCCAGAAATCTGAAGCTCATAAGGGAGTAAATTGCCTAGAAAACCCATTTGCTAAGTAGAAAAGCTGTGGCTACAGCTCAGATCTCTGAACCCCTAGCCCATGTTTTTTTAGCTTCACCATAACACTGCCCTAAGTGGGAGGTTTTCTAAGTGCCTGAAATCACCACTAGGCCACACTTTCAGGAACAAGAACAGGGAGACCTCGTAGGTTTCCCAAGACAGCATGTGAGAAGAATCCTAGAAGCAATAAAGTTCTGGTTTGCCCTATGCCCCTCTACCTCTCCTCCCTGAATACAAGTCAATAGCTGCCAGCCTTTACCAACACGGCCCAGGGAGGAGTATGATGGCTGATCTTGGTTGTCGACTTGACTATATCCGGAAACCACCAAAACTCCAGCAGCTGGGCACAGGGTTTTAGGATGCAGCCAAGGAAATTCTTCTTTGAGGAGAGAAGAGCCACCCTGTGGTGGTTTGAATGAGAATGGTACCCACATTATCATGTTGAATGATGAGCCCCCAGTTAGTGGAACTGTTAGGGAAGGATTAAGAAGTATGGACTTGTCAGAGGAGGTATATCACTGGGTTTTGAAGTTTTAAAAGCTCACACCAGGCCTAGTCTTTAACTTTTTCAACTTTGCAACTTTTAGATCAGATGTGAGCTCTCAGCTACTGCCCCAGTGCCATGCCGATCTGCCTGCCTGCTGCCTGAGGGTCATGGACTAACCCTCTGAAAACATAAGGAAGCCCCCAATTAAATGATTTTTTAAAATAAGTTGCCTTGGTCATGGTGTCTCTTCAGAGCAACAGAATAATAACTAAGACACACTCTAAATCTGGGCCACACCTTCTGGTGTCAGCCTGTATCAAGGGACATTGAAAGAAGCTCCTTGGCTTTTTGCTTGCTTGTCCTCACTCCTGCTGGCAAGCCCATCTGCTCTGCTGCTAAGGCATTCCTTCCCTGGTGTTACAACCTACTTCTTCAGGATTCCAGTTGAGACTTAAGACTGTGGACTGAACAACTACTGGATTCTTCTGGGAGGCTGCCACTGTTTGACCAGCTCTAAGCCACTCTAATAAATTCCCCCTCCACACTCCCATTTTATCAGTTTTATTTCTCTGAAGAACCCTAACTAATACAATAGGTTAAAACTCCATGTTAATTTAGGGACTCTTGACAATAGAGTACATTTCCCCCAAAAGGACAAGGGCCACATAATATCGTGAAACTACGACAGAAAGGTGATGAGCTCTCAGATAACTTCGGTGGCCCTTTGTTTGCTGTTCTTACTTTTGCCTCTTTCCACAGGCAGTTGGTGACCCTTATCACAAGGTACCAGCCCTCTCTGCTCTATCCACTCTTCCTGTCCCACCGAGGAGCTTTCCAATGTGGCCCAAGAGAAAACTGCTGGTAGTGTATTACCAAGGGACTAGTTTCAGGTCTGTGACCAAGTGAACAACTTAATAAAAATGTAAAGACTCTTGGGTCATTATTATTGTATAGTTATTTAAGCCACAATCAAAACAAATCATAAAAATAATATGGGGATGGGGCTGAAGAGATGGCTCAGTGATTAAGAGCACTGGCTGCTGTTTTTTTCAGAGGACCTCAGTTCAACTCTCAGCACCCACGTAGCTCACAACTGTGTTTACTCCCATACCAGGTGATCCAATGTCCCCACATTGCCTCTGTGAGCATCGGGCACACACAGGCTACACAGGCATACATACAAGAAAAACACCCATAAAATAAAAAACACAAAACAAGAACAAAAAAGAATATGGGTCCATAAAGTACAGAAATGCGAGAATTAGAAATTAACTAAAATGTCGCTTCACTGGTCTACCGATGCACCACGGAGCAGGGAGGCTGTGAACTCACTAAATGAGAATTAACAACCCTGCCTCCAGGTCTGATTCAAACGTAGCCATGGCTCTTAACCCTCTGCTGCTACCACAAGCTTTCCCACCTCACATCTCACTTCCTCTCCTCACTCCAGATTCCATCAGTGATTCAGAAAAGTTCCACCCAGATGGTGACGTTTTAACAGATCTGGTCTCTCCTGATCCCTAACCTCTCCCTATGGTTCTGAATGATGGAAAGATCTAATTAGTTTCTGGTGTTTAGATGTGTTAAGGTAAATTAGGCAAGCACTTCTGCCTGAAGCATTTCAACAAGACAATGTATGTAAAATGCAATGCACACCAGAAAGTAAATTACTTGAGCTTTCCACCTGAGTGCTCAAAGGACTTACTTATCCGTGCACACCGAGGAGCTTGGCTAACATCTTTCCAAATATCCCAGACAAACAGCCTGATTCCTCCAGAGATGGCAGCAATGCACATCTTTTATTTGTTCTTTTATGATGTCTTCTGTAGACATTAATGAGAACAGAATTGAAGCTTCTGTAAGTACAGGAATATTGGCCATGTGAAATGTGTTTTTCCATCCACAGGACTAAAGATCATTTTTGAAGGGGATAGGCAGGTTGTCAACTCTTGAAATTATCCATTTGGAAATGAGGGTTGGCCAGGGCTCTTATTTGGAGAGCCTAGACTTTTACTTTTTCTAGATGAATGCTTATCATCACCACCGGAGTTCCTTAGACCCTCCCTCATGCCGTCTGCTTCCTCTGTCTTTCTCCCTCTTCTTCTCTAGGAAGTGCTGTGATGGGGGTGGGGTGGAGGGCAGGCACTTGTCCTTGTTGACTCCCAGGTTGAATGAAAGACAGTGTGAGAAGAAAACTCTCTAGTCTCTTGAATTTGCCCATGTTTAAGCAGCCTGTATTTGTAGTTTAGAAGTTCTGACATTGTCTTCTTCAGAAATAAACTGGCCTCAGACTCAAAGGAGCTTCCTGGGTCACCTTCCTGAGCAGCTTATACTAATTATATTTCTGAGGTTAGGATTGCTCTCCTTATTGCACTACTGTGCTCCAGGAAGCCAGAAAAGCAATGTAAGAGGTTCTATTCTTACCTTAACATGAAGAAATTCAGGCACAGAAATAAACGAGTTACAGGAAAGCATCGGCAGCAGTGGAAAACAAACAATCATTCTGATCTCTGGCTTCCTCTAGCCATTTGCACAAACCCAAACAAGTCCCACCTGTGGCTGGATCAGATTCCTGAGCACAAGTCCTAAGGCAGCTCTGAGCCCTTGGTCTGGTCCCTAAGAACATGGCTATGACGTCAGGTTTCCTCCCTTCACTTTGGGCCAGTGCTCAGGAAGAGGAGCTGCACCAGCCTCCTCACCTTGAGGTGATAAAGCACGACACCGGTGTTGAGCACGTCATCTTCCAAAGCCATCAGGTGCGGCAGGCTGGAGTCGATGACCACCCGAGCCCTCCTCCTGTTGATGTCCACACCGTAATGCTCCATGATGGCCTGCCAGCCATTCCACTTCTGCGCCCACTCTCGAGCCAGCTGATCCATCTGCAGAGGGACGAGATGACAGACTCCCTGTGTAGGGAGCAGACCGAGTCCACTCTCACCGTTGCCCCGTCTTTCATTCCTCATGCTCCCTAGAGAGGCCCCTGTACCTTCTCGTCTGTGAGTGCTTCCTGTGTTTTAAGCTTTCTTCAATAAGCAAGTATTACTTTCCTAAATGGAAGCTCCTTCAATAAATGCTTACATTTTTCTTCAATGTGCATACATTGTTCTTTTAACTAGAAAAAAATGAATGTGTCGTGGATTGGACATGAAATGCCTCACAGGCGCCTGTTTTAAAGACTTGGTCCCCAGCTGGTGTCATTGGTTTCAGAGGCGATGGAAACTTAGTAGGTGGGACCTAATTGGAGGAAGTAGGTTACAGGAAGTATGCCTTAGAAAGATGTAGCATGTCCATGACTCCTTCCTGCCTCTCTTCCCATGTCCCAACTGTCATGAAGTAATTTGTTGCATTATGTTCCCTTACCACAGGCCTGCAGCAATGGGCCAGCAACTATGGATCATGGAAACCTATAATCTGTGAAAACTCAAAGCCTGTACGTGATTGGATGTGTGTACTTCTTCCACTTCCATTGTTCAGTCATGTGACTACATGCAGAAGCCAGAGAGGTCACTGGGTAATCTTATTCTACCTGGCTTTTTACATGGGTTCTGTGGAACTGAACTCAGGTCCTCATGCTTGTACAGCAAGAATTCTTACCCACTGAGCAATGCCCTCAGCCCAAACTAACCTTTCTTCCTCTCAGGTAGCTCTAATTCACAGCAACAGAAACCTAACACAAAATGTTATTTCAATTAATTGATGCTTCTCAGACATCAATACTTACTTAAAATTACCCTTCCTGCATTGTTTTTTCTTTTGTTTGATTTTTTGAGACAATGTTCTCTGTGTTGCTCTGGCTGTCCTGGAACTCATTCTGTAGACCAGGCTGGACTTGAATCCAGAGATCCACTTGCCTCTGCCTCAAGTGTTGGGATCAAAGGTGGGTGACACTGCCCATCTCTGCTTCTTATTCTTATGTGCTCCGTTTTCAGGATTCCTCTTCTGACCTAACATTTCTTCCCATATATGTATCACCTTGAGTTACATTAAGTCTGCACCTGGCTCAAAGGTACACAAAGCACTGAGAGGAATCCGACCAGGCTGTATGGAACTTGACTAAAGACATGTAATAATAAAATTGCAGCAATAAATGATAAAGTACTGAATAATTACTAAATGCCAGGAACACAGGGTTTCATTTCTTTTTTCTGCTCATATTCAGTCTCATTCACCCTGTCCTGTCCCTCTCCACTCTTGTGGGTCCCTCAGAGTTTTAAAAGTAAATGTATCAAAGCCTAGAGTCCTTAGGTTAAGGACTGAGGGACATGAGGGAACCATGTTAAATTTAAGATCTTTGCTTCCTTTTGCTAGAAACTGAAATGTATGCAGAAGACTTATCCTGGGAATAGAACTAAGAACGCTCAGAAAAAATTAGATTTAGGAAAGCAATTTTCTCATAAGGGAAATACTTAGGAAAATACACAACATTCAGATACATGTATTTAAAATATTCTAGCAAAATTATTTAAATTTTTCATTAATGGCTTTCACCTTCTGTTCACAACTCTCCTTGATGAAGTGTCTTCCCTGCAGCACATGCATGCACACTGTCACTGTCCCACATCACTCTCCCATTCCACGGCTTTGCTTATGTCATCTCCCTCTCTATCAGTCTTTCAAAGTCTAGCTCAAACCTGTTCTCTGCTTTCCAGCATAGGACAGCTGCTCCAGAAATGACAGGTATAATGATTTCTTCCTTATCAGACACCTCATGAAGCACAGCAACCTGTGTATCCAAGTGGCCTGTGGCCACCTGAGTAAAGACTCTTGTATCCCTTAAACCTTCACTCGAAGTGCTCAATCTGTGAATACATGCTAGTTATCTGACTAGAAAATTTACTAGATTTGCTGACTAGAAAATCATTTTTTCAGCCGGGTGGTGGTGGAGCACGCCTTTAATCCCAGCACTCGGGAGGCAGAGGCAGATGGATCTCTGTGAGTTTGAGGCCAGCCTGGTCTACAAGAGCTAGTTCCAGGACGGACTCCAAAGCTACAGAGAAACCCTGTATCAAAAAAAGAAAAAATGAATTTTTCTAGGCTACTCACACTATCCAAAAGAAGCTGTCATGAACCCAAGAAGATAAATACATAGAAAGCCATTTACCATCAAGCCTCAATGGGAAGAAAAATGATCTCTGAACAAGACAGATCCTCTCTGCCCCACCTCCATGAGGAATACCTGGAGAGATCAAATATCTCCAGGATACTGGAAAGTTCACCTGGGTCCACTAAACAAACACACCCACCTTCAGGTCATTCCGGAGGACCACCTCCTTCAGGCTTTCATCCAGTTCATCATTTAATGAGCGGATGTTCCTCTGCACAGAGAAGAGGGAGGAGGGTCAGTTTTGATGTTTTCTCAGTATCAACTACAAATAAGTTCCATCATATACACTCCAGAAGGATAAAGTATAGATAAAAGTATAGACTTCACCACCAAAATTAGAAATAAGTCAGGAGCATTTAGTATTTGGGCTCATATGAATACAAAGGAGAATTAAAATAAAATTTTCTCTAGGACCTAATTCCCCATATCTGTCTCCACAGAGAGCAAGGCCAGTAAAGGCCAATGTTATCTAGACATGAGATGACACTAGAAGGCATCCAGCTCATCTGAAGCTGCACAGAAAAATCAGGACATCCTTCTGCCTTTGTTCCATCCCTGCCAACTGAAAACATGAAGAGAGGGCTCAGCCGGTGGAAGCACTTGCTCTGCGAGCTCAGCTACCTGAGTAAGAACCTAGAGCCCAATGTGGAGAGAATCAACCTGGGAAGTTGTCCTCTGACCTCTACATGAATGTGTGCACCCCTGGTCACACAAACACACAATAACATAAAACTTGAACACACGGAGTATGACAAGCCCCAGCTGTTCAAGGGACAAGACCATCCGTCATTAGAATATGGAAGAGTGTTGGCTGCCACATACCAGTTCAAAGCTCAGCAGCATGGCTTTCAGCCTATCAATCTCCTCCCTGAGTTCTCGGATGAGCTTCACACTCGCATCCTGAAACAAAGAGAACTCAGTCACCACTGGCTCATACTAGGTCCCAAACTGCTGTGAAATGCTAGTTGGAGAAGTGTTATTCTTTGGGAGTGACTTCTCAAAGTATAATCCCAGGACCCACAGTATCAGCTTCATCCAAGAACTTGTAATAAATGCAAACTCTGGCCCCACCCCAGAAAGCAATTCTTGAGGGTTAGGGCTCAACCATATCTCACAAACTAGTCAGGTGTTTCTTTTGCATATGAGCTTTGAAAATCATCACCTTAGAGTGGGCCAAGGAAGCTCATAAATGCTCATCGTCCTATATGATGACTAAATCTGATACATGCCTAATCATACTGCCTTCGAAAACAGCCCCTAGGTGCTTTAGGTAGTCTGTTCCCCAGCTGTGTCCCCTGCCCTGAAACTTTTCACTGAATCTCCAAGAAGTAAGAAACATTTGCAATGTTCCTATCATTACTCAGTTTTCGAAACAATTTCTTCCTACTCCTGGTTTAATCCAAAAGAGAAGTCAACTGCAATTTATATAATAAAACTCAGGCACAATTATCACTATCAATTAAAAATAAGAGCATCAAACAGAAGCTTCCAAATGACTTTTTAGAGTGACAGTCATACACTAGGGCTATAAGAGGAATGGCTGTAAAGAAATGACTGAAGGAAGTTATTCATAAAATTATTTGTTGAGCTGGAGAGATGGCTCAGTGGTTAAGAGCATTGCCTGCTCTTCCAAAGGTTCTGAGTTCAATTCCCAGCAACCACATGGTGGCTCACAACCATCTGTAATGAGGTGCCCTCTTCTGGCCTGCAGACATACACACAGACAGAATATTGTATACATAATAAATATTTTTAAAAAATTATTTGTTGATAACAGTAGAGAGATCAGTGAAAGGCAGAGACTACATTGGGAGAAAAGAGCATCATTTGCAGAATACAAGTCTGGATGAAAACTATGCTCATTAGTGTTTTGTCAACTTGACACAAGCCAGTCACCTGGTAAACTGGAACTATCAGCCTGGCCTATAGGTAATCCTGTGGAGTGTTTTCTTGCTTAGTGATTGATGGGGAGGGTCATGCTGACTGTAGAAAGTGCCACTTCTAGGTAGTTGGTCCTAGGCTGTATAAAAAAATCAAGGTGAGTGAGCCATGGAGGAAAAGCCAGCAAGCAGAGTTGCTCGAAGTTCATATCTCAGCTTCCCAAGATAATGGACTGTAATCTGTATGCTGTGGATAACCCTTTGGTGGAGTTCTGAAAAAGACATGCCCCATAAGTTATAGACATTTGTTTTTTTTGTTTGTTTGTTTTTTGTTTTGTTTTGGTTTTGGGTTTTTTTTTTTTTTTGGCATTATAGACATTTGAATATTTGGTCCTTAGTTGGTGGCTGTTTGGGGAGGACTAGGAGGTGTAGCCTTGCTAGAGGAAATATGTCACTGTGAGTGGGTTTTGAGGCTTCAATGCCATTTCTAGCTAGCTCTCTCTGCCTCCTGAATGAGATTGAGATGTAAGTTCTACATCATGAACGCTAACCCTCTGGGATCATAAGCCCCAAAGAAACCCTTCCTTCTGTAAGTTGCCTTGGTCATGGTGTTGACCACAGCGACAGAAGAGTGGCAGATGCACCTTTTCTCCCAGGTTGCTCTTCTTCCATGTTTTACCACAACAGAGAAGCTAACTATGACAAATG